CCTAAGCATATCATTTGTAAAATAATTGACCGCTAATTACTAAATTGTCCTCATTGAAGTTTTATATATATATGAAACAAACTTCCAAAAGGAACAAGGAATATTGATCAGACAGTCTAATTTGGACCGGGCATCAGTTTTAACTTTCATGACGAATTATGCTTCATTGCTAAGGCACAATGTCTCCACTCTACGAAACAATATCACGAAGGAAGCTTCCTTAATCTTAATCTGAAGACTTGGACCATGATTTGTTCAAATCCTCATTGGAAACTATTGATATATTTTCCTATAGGAAACAAAATTTTTGCGACTTTTCAAAGGTAAGTTTCCCCTTCAAGAATTATGGTATTTGGTCGTAAATTCCAGCTGACCTGCAGCAAGCAAGAAGTCACTGAGTGAAAATCTCCCACCACCATCACAAAATTTCTTTGCTTCAATATCAGTTGTCTTTCTTTATCATTCACTAAAGAAAAAAAAAGCACCCAACCATTCACTTTATTCAAAGATCAAAATCAATTTTCTAATAACATAAAGGGCAATTGACGGATCTACTTTCTTTTAAGTACCTTTGACGGGGACTCTCACCCTCAGAATTGGTACTCTATTCTTCCTTACATCTATAAAATTTCTTCACGTAGAAAACCTGGTCAAATAGGGTTTATCTGCTTGCCTTTCGTATATGTTCAAATTTCTAACCATGACAGATTGACTAAATCAAACAAAAGAAAAAAGAGAAATCAATTGGAAGCTTGCCGAATTGCTTAGGTTGAATTTAGATGCAACTGCATTTTCTGTGAAATACAGTTAAATTCTAAAATTTTCTAATGAAAGTCCAGTAAGATGGGTTTAATAAAAAAAATAACATAAATTTTTTATTAAAACTTTAAGATATAGTGTAAATTTTTTTAATTGTAATTATAATAAATTTTATTATTATTTTTAATTTCATCAAAATTAATTTTATCATTAATTTAAATAAACTCTTAATTTAACATGAGAATGTGATGTATAATTGGTATCGGCTGAGATTTTATTAAAAAAAAAAATTGATAGAAAGAAATGCCTAAAGCAATGTCATGAGTAATTGAATTCATGCTTTCTATCTGTCCCATTTTTCTCTCACGAGAAACTTCAACTACTGCTTCATAAAGCAATTTTAATCCAATAAGTAACTGAGATGAAACTTACAAATATCAAAAGGTGGGGGGTCCAAGAACATGACATAACATGGAAGAAGACGGGAAACAATGAACGAGGATGACAAAGTTACACGTGTCAAAAACCTGTAAGTTTGTCCGAAAATGGTAGGGTAAAGCAAAGCAAAGTCCTTTCACGTGGATCCGCCCAAGAAAGGGGTTTTGTCATTATTTAAAGGACAAATCATTTATGGGACACCGTAACAAAAAGTGCCAAAATTAGCAGGTCATGGTCTTCATTTCCTGGTGTTTGTTTGTGCGTAACCCCTCCCCCCCTAGCCTATTTTATCTCTGTCATTTTGTCGGCTTTGCGCCCTCCAAGACTAGCATCACAGCTCTCAGCCAAAACCCAATACAGAAAAGAAAATCAGTTTATTTCAGTGTTGATTATTCTTAGTATTATTTATTATTATTATCATCTGCATTGCAGGGTTGCATCAGCAGAAAGAAATATAGGAAACGCCAAAGTTTCAAATTCGTTATCTTTTCTCACGCTCACAGCAACCCCGCCCCACTATCGTACACCTTTGCTGCTACAAGTCCTAGGCGTGTTTCTAGGGTTCTTTTTTTTGTTTTTGAGTTTGGGATTCACCTCCCTTGGACAGTGCCCTTGTTTATACATATACAAATGAGAAAGTGACGATGATGGCTGATGAGCTTTACAATTTCTCAGTTTCGTCCATAAACATGACATCTGTTGCATTTGACGTCGACCTTTCTAATTACTAATCTATATATATATATATATCAGCCCTATGATTTGTGTTCATAAGATTATGTTTCCCATAAATCTTTTTCTTCTTATTTGTCTAGAATTACGAAGAATCTTTCATGAAATTAAAATTCATTATTTCAAGTATGTAACATGCTTACACATGAAATGAAAGATAGATATTGTTTACGCGAGTTTGTTGAGTTAATAAAATTAAAATATTTTTACTTATAAAAATTAGATTCGAGTTGTACTACTAGCAATTAATGATCAATAGGCCTAGCTAAAGGGCAGGTAGGGACACCCCAAATATTTACACCCTTAATGAACAGTATTCAAACTCACGTGATATAATACTTAGCCCCTTCTTTTATGAATTTATTATCCGACCCCTTGAACTTTATTAATAAATTTTTATGAAGAATTTGTAAATCAAATCTAAATTATTTTTAAAACTTAAGATTTATCTTGACCCGAGTAAATTTCCCCTCACGTTAATTTATTTATATAAAAGTAAAACGATGATGCTAATCTTGAGGTGTATGGGGATGAAAGGAAGGAGTTATGCTGACATGGAGAAAAAATATATATACTTTTTGATTGGTCGAACTTAAAAATTATTATTATCTGTTCAACTTTTTTTTTCTTTCCTTTTAACTTGTATTTTACGCTGTTCTTCTGAAGCAAAACTTATCATGGTACCCATGCGTATTTCCCAACATATTCTATTGTTTTAATTTTGTATGCATAAGATTACACATGGGGGGTGGGCTACTCTAAAATATTATCAGTGTCTGTTTCATGTCGACATGTCTGCGCTTCCTTCTTGCTTGCCACGTTATCTTATTTTAATGCACATCTTCTATAACTCGTCCTATAATTATCTTATACGGAGACGATAAAGTTTTAAAATAATTTATATATATGTTTATTCACTAATAATATTAATTTTTATTTATAATTTATAGATGTGTGATAGTTTTATATCTCATTTGTAGAGTTTCAAAACTTATCCTTATGGATATATATATATATATAATAATTATTTTAGTTAAATTTATTTTAGATTAAGTATTAGTATTTAACTAGACTTATTTAAGCTAATATATTTATATAAAAAATTTAATGATTGTATGTCAAATTGTGATCTATTAGACTTATAATTGTAGTAAAAATAATTTATAGATATGATAATTTCAAATACGATACAAAATAATATGAATAAAAATATAAAAATAACATAGTTTAAAATTTTGGTAAAAACTATAAATAAATTTAATAAAATAAAAAAAATATATTTTATATTTTCATGTTAACACGAATTGTAATATGTAATATTCATGTAAAATATAATACGAATACATAAATTTTTAATTTTTTATATGATATGAATATATGAATTACTAGGTCTAATCTAAATAATTTCTCTTATATTTGGTTTTAGTTTTTTTTTTTTAAATATTGAGATATTTGTTTTTATACAAATGAAAGAAATAATTTATTTTTGGTGAATAATTCTATATACTACTAATAATAAACCTTAATATAATTGGATAAATTTTTTTTTTTATGTGTATATATACCCTTCAAGTGCCATGGCAACAAAGGCAACCTTAGCCTAGCTAGTTGGGTAGTTTTAAATTCTACAATTTCAAAGAAAAAGGGCTGAGCTGACAAGACTTTTTCTTTAATCATGGGAAAGGAAAGGCAACTAACACTTGTTGCCTAGAAAAAATGACAGCCTCTAATTTAATTCCTTGGCTGGTGGGTACCAAGTTGAGTCCCATAATTAGTTTGCCTGTCTTTTGAAAATTCTTATTCAAAGGAAAAGAGAATTCTGAGCATCTCAACTGACCTAAAAAAAAAAAAAAAAGGAAGAGCATTCTAAAAAAAGGTAAAGTGCTGTGATAATCTTTGTGAAGAAGTGCTTTGGATCTGCTGTCCAATTCTTAATGACATGATTACTATATAATAGTCTTAGTTTGGTGGGAGCTGAAAATAGTAATGACATTGACAATTGACAAGTGAATAGAGATATATTTTTGCCTCTTTCACTTTAAATATTTTCAATTTAATTCAATTAATTTATATTATATTTTTAAAAGTGATATATTTAATAAATTTAAAATTAAAATCTTGATATTTTTAATTTTTTATCTTCATGTTATGATCTACCATATAAAAAATTTTAAAAAAATATTAATGAAAAAATTGGGGGCATATATCAATAATTTCTTTTATCTAATTTCAATTGAGCAGTAAGTACAAACTAAAATCATAATTTTTCCTTTTGATAGAAAAGAAGGCCACTTATTAGAAGTGAATAATAATTGAAATTCTTTTAAAAATTAAAAAAATAATTAAAAAAGAAAAAGAAAAAGGGGGATTCCTATAAGACGGCTCTAGACCTTTGGTTATCTTTCCTGGATTGACCACCAAAATCATCCTGTTGGGTGAAACTTCTTTTGCATGCTCAAGTAAAACTAAATGAATTGAATTAAGGTAGATGCAAGAAAGAAAACGCAATTCATTGTTAACTTTTAGATGATGCAAAGATCAATCGTTGGATTCAAGAGATTTGGTACAATATTGCCTTTTCCCTGGGGGCAAAAAAGGGGTTGCTGGGAATTTAAAACCACACAGAATAAAGGGAAATAGCTAGCTTTTTTGACCACCTCCATACTCCATAGGGATCCTTTAAGCTTCAAACGATACATAAAAAAAAGGTAAAAAGGAATGAATCAATGAATGAAGCTAAGAACAAAAGAGGCAACCCCTCAAAATCAAAGAAGATCTACCTTTAATATCAGTCATGACTCTTAACCCTTTGCTTTTGTGAAAAAAAATCCCATTCTTTAAAGAGAACAGGTAGAAAAACAAGTGTTGTGATGCCGAGAACAGATAATGAATAATTGTCTGTCACCACTAAAGCTTAAAGTTTGACAGTTTTACTTTACAGTTTGGTCATGAACTGCTTTACTCAAGCTAGTCATAACCAAATGTCTAAAACCCATATCTCTTTTTTCACAGCCTGCATTGTTCCAATTCATCAAAAATCTTACTTCAGTCTTTTTGCTGCCAAATGGATTAAAAGCAAAGGCCAGTATCCAATTCAATTGGCCTTCTTTCAATTACTAAAAACCACCTTTCTCAATGGTAAAAATCGAAGCATAAACATTCACGGCATAAAATAAAGAAATAGAGGAAAGAATGGGATGAAACAGATATTAATAATGAAAAAAATTTCTATGATCCATTTCTAAAAAGATATTTGCAATTCCCTTTTTTTCTTTGTTTTTTTTTTTTTTTCACTAAGAACAGTAAAAAAAGGAAGAAATTTTTGGTTCATGACATGTTAACATGAACACTGGCATTGGTAACAGAATCACAAACAAGGCAAGTGCCTACCAGTGTGGACCCACACATTGTACAGAGACAGAGATGCCTGCATGGCAGCAACAGCACACTTGCCTCTTTCTCCCCACACTTTCTACACTTCCTATTATTCCCAGCCACCACCGCCTTATCTTGCTCATCACCACGCCCTTGTGGTTGCGGTGGCACCACCTTGCGCCACCCTTCATCATTGCTGCCACAACTAGACTCTGCGTCATCAGCCAACGTAGCTGCGCCTCCCCCGCTCACATGGCGTTCCTCGCTGACATGCGCCAGGACTTGTTCTAAATTGGTGCGTAAGGAATTGGCCGTGGCTTCATTTGTTAGTGCCAAATCTCTCAACAGTTGGTTCTCTACGTATAGGCTTTTCACTCTTTCTTGAAGAAACCAGTTTAGTTTCCCCATTCTTTGTATCTCCTCATCTTTTTCCTTCAGTTTCTTCATAACCCCTTCCTGGAATGCTGTAATCAACATTCTCGATTGCCTCTTTCTTCTTTCTTCAACTTCCAACCTCACTTTTTCTGTCTGTAATTAATGCACAAATAAAAAGTTGATATCAATAAATTGCCTTGTTAACTGATCATAAAAAAAAGGAAAGAAGGTTTTTTTTTTTTTTTTTTAATATCATTGAAACAGCTGTATTGAGAAAAAGTTGGCTTTTTTTAGAAAACTTACATGTTCAGCAATGAAGCGGTCAATTTCTTGTTGGTGTTGTTGGATCTGGGAGAAGATATCATCATCAAGAACAGAGGAAACACCGGAAAATTTGTTCTTTTGAGGGACAACTGTGTATGAATCAAAGCCAATGATGGATGAATCTCTAGGCCTTTTTCTTGGAGCTGAGACTGGGATATTCATATTGTACGTAAGGCCACTATCAGCTTTGTTGATTGAAGTTTTGGCTGAAATTGGATCACAAACAAGAGATTCATATAATGGAAACAGCTGTGAAGCTTGTTGCATTGTATAAACCAAAGGAACACAAGAATCCATCTGGGTATTGTACATATTGCCACTCCCTTGATTTGTATCAATAAAATCTCTGCTTCCACGAAAAGAAGAGGAAAAAAAGAAAAAAATTAAAAGCAAACCAAACCCATTTTCAATACAGAAAATGATATAGATATAGTATTTTAAAGTACCTATTGGTGATTAACTGAGGGGGAAGAGGATTCATATGCCGAGCTTCGACTGCCATCGGATAAAGCTGTGGGTTTTCGTTTCTTTGCTTCCAAGTGATTTCCTTTCCTTTGCTTTGATGTGTCGTTGTTGTTGTTCTTTAGAGTTTGCTAAAAGAAAATATATGACGGGAGGGGATGGGAGGGGGGGAAAAGAGAGAGTGTATGGGTTTGAAGAATAATGAGAAGAGATGAGCATGAAAAAATAAAGAGAAAGCAGATTGAGGTGGCGACTAGGGAGGCTCTCCCTCCATGAATTGGTTTATAATAGAGAGAGAAAGTCAAGAAAGACTTTTGCTTATAAATAAAAGACAGAGAGAGAATCAAATACTTATTTATTGTACAAAATTTTCTTTGCAAATTAGTAAAACATGGGGTGGCTGATTTTGTCCTTAGATTCTGGTTACTATATAAATTCTTTCTCTTTTTTTTTTTTTAAAATTTTGAAGAATTGTTTATAATTATTTTCTTACATCAATTTATTTATTATTAAAATTGAGATTTAAAAATTATAAATTTAAAAAAATTTAAATGTATAATATTTTCTTTAACCATATATATAATAAGGTAAAAAATTTTAAAATAAATTAAAAACTTAAAATAAAAAAACTTTGGAAAATTTTTAATTTTTATTTTAAAATTAAATACTACTACTAGTACTATTACCTTATTTGAAAAAGGAAATTAAGTTTTTTATTAAAAATAAAATAAAAATTTTAATTTAAAATTTAAATGAATATATTAACAAAGTTTAATAATATGTTTTTTAAAATTTACAATTTTTATATATTAAAAAATTTTAATTTATCAATTCTAATTTACAATTTAAATTTTTATTAATTGATTTCAATAGAAGATTTTATGAGTTTGACTTTAATAATTGCAGTTAAATTGTTTATGTTTGGTAAAAGTAGATTAGTAGGGGTATTAATGGAATTTCAGTATCGCTTTAGGTGTGTCAAACGTGGGATTTAGTGTTTTTAACCAAAAACGATGTGGCTGTGATTTTAATCTAAGTAACTGACATACGGCATATCTGCCACGTATAAGCTCCGTGCAGTCTCTGCCACCTAAGCCGATCACTATGGTCCAAGAACCACATCTACCAAAAAAAAAGGACAGGTGAAATGCCCGTTGTGAACGTGATCCAACAATGGACCCCACTATCTTATCGCACGTGGGAAGTGTGGGATCATTGCTTTTTTGCAATTTCTATTTTTTTGAAAGAAAAAAAGAAAATAGGCGTACTCCTTTTTCCTGTTGCTAGCCCACGTCGTGGGGCCCACATACGGTTTCCCCGTTTCGCTACCTTTGTTCCCTTTCTTCGGCCGGTGTATCTGTACGGACAACTTGGCATAATGGGAGTGGTAGTGGATGAATAATCTCTTTGTGGGACCCCTTTCTAACATTATTTTTTTAAATTATTTTTAGATAAATTTCTAAATTTTTTAAAGTAATATCGTAATTTTAAAGAAGAATAAAATGTGAAAACGTAATCAAAATTTAAATTTATTAGATATTATAATCATATTAATTCATTAAATCAAATTTTAAGTTCTATTATTAGTGTTTATAATTTTTTCTTCTGTTAACAAAATTTTTGAGAAATAAATCAATTAAACTTTTTTAGATATTAAATTTTTAAACGTTTATAATTACTTAGTATTATTGATGAAGCTTGAATTTAAGATCATTTTATTTTGAGATAATTAGTGATTTTATTATCAATTGAGTCAAATTTTGATCGGTTATTTTGTTAAGCGAAAGTGATAATAATTTATTTGTATTTGGTGCAATGAAATTGTTTGTGCAAGTTGATTCTTAAATCAATTAATAGATTTTGAGATTTGGATGATAATTACAAAGAATCATACTTGGTTTGGCCAACCATTTATGCATGTAGACATTGGCTAATAGCAATAAGTGCCATTTATCTCATTTATTTCTATTCACTAGTGGGATATTTAAAGTTACCAATTAATTTTAACGATTAAGAAGTTTGAGTTTTTTAATTTCGATGATTAATATTCAAATCCGGACATCTCAAATATAAAATAATTAAAATTAGAACTCTCATATGGTAATTTCATTGTCATAGATTTAAAGAAAGGGTTCATTAATTTGAAGACAACTACACAATTTTGTATGAAGGTTAGGAGTTCAGTTGGCTTAGCATGATATAGTTAGAGAAGTGAGACATTTTATGTGATATTTTTCTCATTTGCTCACCAGCTTTTGGTAAAAAAAAAAAATCTAAAATTAATTTTCATGAAATAACAAAAAAAATTTATATATAATAACTTGAATAACAAGGTTTAATACCAATCAAATTAAATACTTTAAAGTTTAAAGAATATTAGATCTATATAGTCATATCTTTATTTTTTACATATATAATTGAAAAGAAAAATTATCTTATACTTCTTTTATGAAGTTTTTAAACTTGGAAAAAGAGATTAGAGGATTGATACATATCTCATTAGAGATATTTATAAAAATTAATAAAATGATTAATTATTAAATAAATATGCTCATGGAATTTAAAATCTTTGACAAGAAAAGGAAGGGACACTGAAAAAATCTTGTGAATATTTTCCCACCGAGCACATGCAATTTTCCCATGTTGAATCATGGCCATGCTTGGACAATAATTAACTTATTGTCTATAAAGATCCATTTAATATTTTCGGTTTCCTAACAAAATCATTTCTTCATTGCAGATTAAGATTTGACAGATCTATTTTCCATTTTTTATATTATTATTTCAACTTAACATCTGATAATCTTTTGGTTAGAAAAATTTAAGAAATAGAGGCATGTTTCATACATAAATTCAAGAATTGAATTTGTTTGAAAGTTTACAAAATTTGGCTTTGGAAGTCAACAGATTAATGAAGAATACCTAATTCTGATTTCTGCCACTAAAATTATGAAAGAGCACCTAATTTTTCAAAGAATCAAAGTGTGATTGATATATATATATATATATATATATGTATGTGCGCGTGCTTTACATGCTTTTCATGTCTTTTTATATATTCATTTTCTTCTTTAAAAAAGAAAAATTAAATGCCTTTTGAGTGTGAGAATTGATATGTAGAGGTGGGGTTTTGGGGGTTGAAGATTAGATAAGGAATTTATTACAAAAGCTGTTGCAAACAAGACTTAATAATTATGAAATTCCTAATTAAAATGACTACTGCTTGTCACATTAATGTTTAATTACTTGTTTTCTTCAAATTTTTTTTTTTAGGATTCCTTTTAGTAGCTGAATGCATGTAGATAGGCATGGATAATGTTTTTTCTTACTTTCCAAACAGCTTAATTTCAGATAAAGGTAAAAAAATTGTGGAGAAAATGTTCAATTTAGAATTTCTACTTCAAATTACTGTGTCACAAGCAAACCAATTTCATGAAAGGTCAACTCATGCACTGCATTGGGATTGGTGCAAAATTATGAAATTTTTAGCCATGATTTTTTTTTTTTTGGGTTTTGTTTTGGATTATAATTAATAAGGAATTGGAATTCCTGTCTTTGACTACTAAAATCCTTGTTTCTCTTCGAAATTTCCTCTTTTGAAGGTCAATCTATTTGGGGGGGGGGGTTGGTTTCTTGGCTAGCTTTGAAGAAATGATAGCTAGCTAGCATAAATGGATTAGTGACTCCCTTTGATTTCTCAATTCTCCTCATTAAAATTTTTCAAAATTTGGATATCTTTTATATACATATAATAATTTGATTGATAAAAAAAAGGGTAAAGGCAGCTCAAAGAAATGAAATATCATGATTGGTACAAAGAAAAAAAAATCAAGTATACCATATAATATTAACAAAAAGACCAAGTCAAAATTTTCATAATCCAATTTTCTTTAAAATTTGTATTAAAATAGAGTTTAAATTTTAATATTTATAAATGTTTTTTTTTTATTTTCAATTTTTGATATCTTTTGTTCAATTTTTTTTTCTCCTAAGCATCCAAACTTCGATCCCTCCCTTTTCTTTCCCACAATAAATTGAAATGATGGCCAAATCTTGCAACCACAATGATGTTATTGACCCAATTGAATGGGATGGAACAGTCACCCCCACTATGTCCGAGACTATCTAACATATCCCTAAATTGATCACCCCTCTCACACACCCACATTGAAAAGGAAAAGTGGAAAGATCAAAGAAAGAGAAATCAAAATATATAATATAAAAGAAAAAGAAAAGGAGTTGCCACCACCAAGAAAGAGATAAGAGAGCAAATAAATGCAGACAGATGGATTCCCACATCGATCCCACCACCTTCCCATTCTCATCTTTCACTACTACTGGCACTCTTTTTTTTTTTCTTCATCTCCTCTATTATTTGCTTTGTCACATCCCAATGGGTTATTTTTTTTAGCTTTAACCACCTTAAAAGATAACCAAAAGTAACCCAAAAAGAAACAATGAAATACACATCAAACACACAAGTAAAGCAAAGCACAATTGTAGATAATAAGGGATGATCAGCTAAATTCATGATTGGTCCTACCAATATATTTAACTTAATTAATTAATTTAATTAGAATTAGTAAGACCTAATTCCAAAAAGAATATGATAATATGAAAAATATTAGATAAACAAAAATATTAAATGTCCCTTGATACAAATAAATTGGGAGTATTGCATTTGCATTGCTGAAATGATATTGGAATATAAATTCATTTGGCAAGTGATGAATTATAAAATATATGCAGATTTCCTAGAAGTTTCAAAAGGGATTCCTAGAAAACGCAGACATTCACTTTCATTTTCACTTTTAAAAGTAGATTGAGTTTGTAGGGTTGTAGCAACAAAAGCCACACACGTTAGGCAGCCACTCTATATATATTTTTCTTTCTACTATATCCTTCAAAAGTGGGTTCTCTATGCCAACCACTGCAAGATCTTATGATGATTCAAAAAGCTCTCTAATGTGGGAGCCACCTATTTGTGGGAAAAAAAGTTGTATTCTCATCCACCCTTTTTTGGGTTTGCTTGAATTATACTATATATATATATACATATATATAATATAATATATATTATATATTTTTCATTTTCTTAATGTCCTAAAAATATTTCAAATTTTGCTTAAACTATTTTTTAAAATGATTTATAAATTTTTTCTCTCATATCGATTTGATACATTTAAAATTAGTTTTCATAATACTTTCACAATGATAAGATCTTAATTGATAAAAAAAAACTTTTTCCTTTATCTAATTGGAACAACTCTTGTGTGTGTGTTTTTTTATTAAAAATATCACAGTTTAGAAATAAAAAAAAGAGTTGTACTTGTTAAAATTTAATTTCAAACTTATTAAATGTCATTTTTTAAAAAATAATTATATGAAACAATTAAATT